TCAAGTTTTAATACATAAATACATACATACATACATATGGAGCAATATGAAGCCATATAAACTGTCACTGCTTATCATCCAGAATCCATCATCCCCACTCTCAAACACAGTGGTGGCAGTATCATGCTGTGCAGATATGTTTCCTCAGCTGGGACAAAGAAGCAATTTCAAGTAACTGGGGAAATGGGTGGAGCCAAGCATAGAGCCATTCTGGAGAAAGTCAGAAGTCTAAAAAGAGACCCCCGGCTGAGGCAGAGGTTTAGCTTCCATCAAAACATTAACTCAAAACAACCCAATAGCAATGTTCAAATGAAGCAATCAATGCCCAGGCCTAAAAGCAGCTGAAAATATGAAGCAATTTTAAAGAGTCCTTTCTGACAGAGCTTCAAGGTTATTCCGGTAGAGGCATGCCCCAACAACCCCCAACGATGCGTAGTCGCAAATAGACACATGCTACTTTATGCCACGGCTTTCACGTTCTGTCAAAATCCATATATATTTTCTTCCTGCATCACAACTCTTCTGTTTTAAAGTCCAAACATGACAAAATATGAAAAATTCATGTTATGATTATGCAAAGCCTTATGTTAGTGTGACACTTCCTGACAACATTACTGCCTCCAGGCTCAAAACATGCGCTTATTCACACAACCGCATTGATCCTTGGTAAATACGCTTGATCTCTTTAAACAGTTGAACAATATAGTGAGTGTTCTGGTGAGGTCAGGCTGTACAACATTAATTCCTGCTTCCCACCTCAAATAATAAAGTCAAGTCCAGGTTAAATCATTTCCGCACCTTCTGCATTATGGCTGCGCTCATTTAGGATCCATCTAATAGATCACTGCTCACTCTAAGGCTATAGCCTTTTTATTTAAATAAGCAGATACTGATAAATGAGGAATATGGAAACAAGTAGACACACAACAAGTTAAACATGTTAAAAATATAGCAAAGTGGAAGCAAAGTTAATTGCTTAGTTTTAGGAATTACTTCGGAGAATGTATTACTTTAGCCAGATGTGGTGTTGCACTTAAAAGGTTTATTGAAAGTTCTGAATTGGACCAACTGAACAAGGGTGTGTAGGCATAACATGGTAGTAGGCAGAGGCTGTCCAGGTCGTGACCAGAGTTAGAAGCCGATACAAACCCATTGAGGGCGGGACGAGCACAAGTTCCGCACATACAGCCCCTGTCAAACCTCAAAGACTTAGCCAGCGTATGCCTGACGTACAAAAAATCTGGCAAAAATGCTGGAGATGACGGGTTCTGCTCATGCGCTCTTGTTATCAGAGAACCGAGCCAGCTCGGTTCAGTTGTGTGTAGCTCGGTTTATTTCAGTTTGCTTTCCATTTACACACGATAAGTTATCTCAGTTACTGAGCTCGGACCGGTCTCGGCACGGTTTTTCAAGGGTAGTGTAAATTAGGGATGGAACGGTTTATGAAAACCGTCCGAACCGTTCGGTTCGAATCGCGTGTGTTGCGTTCGGTTCATGCGCTGCCCCTTTTTCTCATAGGCGAAGCGTGTACACTCCAGAGCAGAAGGTGGCGGTACTGCGACCAAAGCCAACCACCAGTAGTAAACAAGAAGAAGAAGCGAAGCAGCGTAGCCGGGTGTAGCAGAAAAAAATCAGTTGTTGTAGAGAATTGTGTGGGTATGGCGAGTGGGAAAGAACAGGAGTTGGAAGACGCGCCAGCAGCACTTTATAGGTCTGCTTTATGGGAACGGAAAGAAAGTTGTGGATAAAAGTGCGCAAGCATTTTGCAACACGTTTTGTTTATGCTAACAGCAACGCGACCAACATGTCAGGCTAACAATCAACATATACCGAACCGAAAACCGTCACCACGAAACCGTGAACCGAACCGAACCGCGGATTTTGTGAACCATTCCACCCCTAGTGTAAATGGGGCAAAAATGTCCATATCTGAACTCTGAAATCTGAACCACCAATGGAATCAAAGTTTCCACTTATGATAAAATCATACATACTGCCTTATTTAGAGTGCAGTATGTATGATTATATTATTTTGGGGCCAAAATGCTCTTTCCATCGACGGATTTAGATTTTTTTCAATAAATCTTTACTTATTTATATAATAATAATAATAATAATAATAATAATAATAATACATTTTATTTGTATTGCACTTTACATTTCAACAAAATCTCAAAGTGCTACAAAATTCATAGTTAAAACAAAACCGTACAATAAAAATAGCATACATAGTTAAAACGAGACATTACAATAAAATAACATACGTAGTAAAAACAAAACAGTAAAATAGCCATAAAACCACACAGATAAAGTACTAACTAACACAGGGGAGTGGCGGCCTAGTGGTTAGGGCATAGAGCTTGGAATCCTGAGCCTCTGAGTTTGACTCCACCCCCACAGTCTGCCACTTTGGGGCGCTGAGCAAAGACCCTTAAACCCAAAACTGCTCCCTGGGCGCCACACAATGGCAGGCCACTTCTCCTCAAGGGAATGGTCTAAACCAGCGGTCCCCAACCTTTTTTGCACCACAGACCGATATATGTCAGACAATATTTTTGTGGACCGGGGGGCGGGGACCGTTTTTTACTTGATCGTATTCAAGTAAAAAACGAGTTTTGAGGATGAGTTTTGAACTGAATTAACCTGTGTCAAGAGACACAGATGCACCGACTGATGTAATTGGGAGAGAATACCGCAATTGTTTATATTTTTCAAAATAAAACATCACTCAGACTCTGATCGTCAATAAATTATTCTGTGCAGCACGGTACCAAATGACCGACGGACCGGTATTGGTCCGCGGCCCGGTGGTTGGGGACCGCTGGCCTAAATGCAGAGAGTTTTGTTGCTCTGTACTTGTGACAGTGTAATCAAAATAGAAAATTATTATTTTTGATCAGGTTTGGCAGTCTAAAGTCAAAGACATTATGATGACATCCAAAACTACAAGAAAATAGAAAAACAAAATAGTCAATATAATTTTCCAGCTTAGGCGCTAATTAATCTTAGCTTGGATGCAGTTTTCTGGCTTTCATCTTTACCTTTTTTTCGGCAAATAACAACCTGGAAACACTTTAAGTTTCCCCGTTAAGCTTTTCCACGAAGGCCTCACTTTATGACAGTAATATGGTGAAGATTCTCAGTCATCCAGGTCATAATCATTCCGAAAAAGTTAGAAAACAATCCGCTGGACTTTTTTGGATTGTTTTTAATTGTTTTTTTTAAACTTTTTTTAGAATGTTTATGATGAAGTTCCATGTTTGTACCTCAGGCGACCTGTCAAACATATGGAAGCTGGAAAAGATTTGCACCGATCTGATTGCTTTTCTCTCCTCTCTTGCAGCATGTGAGTATCCAGGCCTTCCTCCGGCAGTGACGGGGATGTGCGCTACAGTAGGCAATTTGACTTGAAAGGTTGCTGCGGTGGCCCCTGTGTGATGTAATGCTCCTTAAAGATCTCTCTGAAGTTCCAGCTGTGCAAATGGATTACAGCAGAGAGAGAGAGAGAGAGCGCTGGGGCCGTGGGAGGACGTCGCTAATAAATCATGTCATGTCATGTTAATTGTCTCCCAAAACATAGAGCCTGTTTGCAGGCATGCGAGCCCACGGCCGCGCAATTTTCAGCGAATTACCTAGCAATTATGTTTTTATCATTATCTGGTGTTTCCATAACCTTTCCTAATTTGTATCTTTCTTTTTTTCCATGATGTTTTTATTGGCTTTATTTGGACGTGGGAAATATAAAGGGGGTAGGTACTAAAACCTTCCATTACTTCATCTGAATTACTCCCATAGAGAGTCTCTATAATCTGAAGCTTTAACCAACTTTTTACACGTGTTTGTTATGTTTAGAGGTTCTTGACGTCCACATGTTTGAAGCTTCATATCAATCTGTTTGTTCTCTGCAGGGATACACACCTCTGCACATTGCAGCCTTGCATGGTCATCGACACATTGTTGATCTACTCATTGGAACTTATGGTAAACGTTCATCTCAAATTTTCAGGTTTAACTTAAAAGCAGAAGATGCTTTCAGGGTTTTCCTTTTTTTTTTAGTTGAAATGTTTTGAAAAAGACTTATCCTTAAAAGAATGACTCCATGTTCCAGGATTTCTTTACTTTCAGATCAAGGGTTGTTCCTTTGAGCTTCTGCTTTAAGGTGTCAGTGAAGTAGATTATCTGCTGCCTCTCTCTGTGTTCAGGGGATTTTTGTCGTTGTTTTCAGGGGCAAAAGAAAACGTGCGGGACTACAGCGGCCGTCTTCCTTTCCATTATCTGAGTGTCAAAGACCTCGAAGGTCCGCAGGAAGACTGCGACCTGCGTGAGTGTTTCATGCTTTTTCAACTTCACCTTTAAAAAGAAATAAATTGCATCTTATTTTTCCTTTATTTCCTTTTTATTTATGTAGTATGGGACATCTTTGTTTTTTTCTTCGCTTTTTGCAAAAAGCCTTTTGAACTGAATCTTCACCATCCTTTAGGTTTTTATAGCTTAAATTAAAAGCATTATACATTTTATTAAGTCTAGGGCTGCAACTAATAATAATTTTTTGCAAATAGATTTGTCTGTTGATTATTTTTTTGATTAATCAATTAATAATCGGCTAGCCAAAGGTTCCTCAAAGAAGATTACGTACGAAATTAAAACGGGTGAAACTAAAAGATTAATTGATCGCTAAATAAGTTGAAGATTATTTAAGAAATCAGTCTTTTTTACGATTTAATCCGTTTAATTTTTACAGCATTAATTAAGTCGATAATTTAGATGGGAGTCCAGAGGTGGAAAGAGTACTAAAAAATTATAAAAGTATCTTTACTTTGCCTAAATTCTACTCAGAGTGAAAGTAAAACGACTGCTTTAATAATAAATAAACACTATAGCTATGTTTTTATACTTCAAGATGTTATGGACATCCTAAATAAATGCCATTTGTCTTTGAATCACAAAATGCAAATAATTTTAATGATCAGCCGGTCTCTTGTTAATCTGCGTTCTGAGCAGAGCATAAGTACAAAACACATATTTCATTGCATTGACCTTTAAATATAAAAACAGCCTTCAGTTTAAGTGAATTCATTTAATAAGGGAAAAATATCCATGTTATGAAAAAATTAGTGTTAATAAATCCACTGCTGCCTGTTTTTAACTCTAATGACTATTTCTTTAAAACCAGAGGTGGAAAGAGTACAAATAAATTGTAATTGAGTAAAAGTATCTTTACTTTCCCTGAATTTTACTGAGAGTAAAAGTAAAATTACCCATCTCAAAATTTACTCAAGTAAAAGTACAAAATTACTTCATTTAAAATGTAATATGAGTAAAAGTTACTTAGTTACTTTGAGTTTTTTAATGCAAAAAAAGGATGAGTCATGAATCGAATTGAACACAAGGTGTTTTAATGGATTTCAAGGCGTATTTCAGTGGACATCCGTACTGCAGAAGATCAGCTGGACTAAAGAACATACTCAGTAACGTGAGGAGGTTTTAAATGTAGCAAAGTAAAACTACTTAGGTTAAAATTTACTCGAGTACAAGTAAAAATTACATATTTCAAAAACTACTCAGAAAATTACAGATTACTCATAAAAAGTACTCAATTACAGTAACTTGAGTAAATGTAATTCATTAATTTCCACCCCTGATGGAGTCTGATTGAAAATATATATATTACTGCTCATTATTTCATCTCACATTGCCACAGCTTTATATAATAATATGTGATAATTTAGATATTGTAATTTCTATTTACAGCCAAACATTGTGTTTTTATAGCAGCATCTAAAGACGAATAAAAGTCCTTGAGATAAATTCTTGTTTTATTGCTATAACATCTTTCACTTTTGATCTAGCCTTGACTTTGACTGTATTGATAAATAATAGTTTTTCACCCAATCCGTTTCTCACATTTATCAGCAATGTTAACCATTTGCAGTTACCGTAAATTCCGGACTATAGAGCGCACCTGATTACAAGCCGCACGCTCTAATTTCAGAAAGAAAATCAATTTTTACTTTTATAAGCCGCACCGGATTTTAAGCCGCAGGTTTCCCACGTTGTATGAGATATTTACAAATAAAGATATTACACGTGAGCATTGTTTTAACGTTTGATTTAATCCGTATGATAAAACAAACAAATACGGTACATATTATAAATGCTTTTTTTTTTTTTCATACTACTTGTAACACATTTAAATATACGTATCCTCCTGCGCGCTAAAACCCTCAAAGTCCTCTTCCTCGGTGTCTGAATGGAACAGCTTCAGGATGCCGTCACTGACTTCAGTCTCAACCTTTTCGCTCTCACTTGAGCACTCGCGGTCCTCTTCATCCCGCAGATGTTTTCGCACGGCTCTACGCATCGAGAACCCACTGGCAGACATCAGTGAAAGATGCCCTTCGCATGCGGCCAGTTTTGGTAAAGGATTTCTCGCCACTGGTCATCCACGTCTCCCACTCACTGCGCATCAATTTTATTGGTCTGTTTTTCGCGCCATGAAAAAAAAAAAGTATTAGCCGCACTGTATTGTGCAGTGTTCAAACAGCGGGAAAAAAGTAGCAGCTTATAGTCCGGAATTTACGGTAAATATAACTGGAACTTTTTACATGTTATTTTAATGTGACCTTTTTAATTTAAGAAACATTTACCTACTGAGTTGCAGAGAAGCCTCTTTCCCTTAGGCACATTCCAGTTACCTCGTATTTATAACTCCTACCCCCGATCCTAGATCCTTTCCTTAACCTTGCGCAGAGCCAACAGTTAGAATTCTATCCAGGGTAGAATATGGACAACCCTCAGCCTTACAGATGTCATTACGCGATGCACACATGAATGATGCTGTTCAAATTAGGACTTCAGTCTTCTAGAAAAAACTACAAAAAAGCATAATTTACATAAAGTAATTATAAAACGGTCTTAAATTGAAAGGCAACAGGACTTTATTTCAGTTTTTTGAAGATGTTTGTACGAGTTGACAGAAAGTTGTCAGACATGCTAACTCTATTAGCTTGTGGCTACTACCGGTGTTTAGACAATTATTTTGTAAGGAAGTCATTAAATTTACTCCTTTTTTGCATTTAACTGATTCTTGGGTCTTTTGAAAATTTTCATCTTTGTCTTTTTTTAACAAAGTTTTCTGAGATTTTCACGCTTTTTTAAAACTCCATCACCTTTTGTCTCTTGCTTCTCTCGGTTGCAGAATTTCAAGTCGCTCAAGCCAGAGAGAGGAACAAGAATAGGAAGTTGGTGTCGTTGTTCCACTCTAAGAAGAAGTGGGGTTCGGCGGAGGAGCTGGCTCCGATAGAGGAGGAGAGGACGGCGTCCCATCAGCTGTCCCTTCCTCCTTTTAGGCCCAGAAAGTTCTCCCGCTGAGGAGAAAAGCAACTTCTTCACTTACTTTCATACGCAAATATGGACCAAAAGTAGTGCCGTATATCATCTATAAGAGCACCCTTAAACTCACACAAAACTAAACAGTTCAGAACAACTTGAACGCAGAAAGGAAACAAGATGCTGCAACTTTAAATCAGTTAAAATCACTGCAAGTGCTGCTTTATTTACGTTATGCTTTTCACTGAAGTATTTTGAAGTTTTTTTTGAATGTTACTTTATGTTACTTATGACGTAGCGTGTTACAGGGTCACATCGGCTCAGGCCGCATGATTCTCAGAGCTTTGCTTTTTTATTCAGAGTAATTCAGGCTAATTTGATACGCTGGAGATGAGTGAAACAAATTTAATTACTCTGCAGTATTTTTACTCAGCATTTTTACCTAATTGATATTTGTGGGGGAAAAAAAGAGGAGAAAACATGTTTAAGTTGATTAAATTTGTATAGCATTGCAGCATTAATGAGTGTAAAAACACATTGGTCAATTCTTGAAAAATGTTTATTAAATTCCCTACCCGTTTTAAACATATAGTGTTTAAAAATTTAGGTAAGTTGGTTTTCTTAAAATAGGTGTATTTTCTCTTGATTTCAGCAAATGGTAACATATGTCAGGGGAAAAAGAACATATATAAGGTTAAAAAAATTTTTAAAGGCAAAATTAATGATTCCACTGCTCAGATTAAAGGCAAATACACTAATTTTAAGAACTTTTAACTCATTTTTGAATACTTTAGTAAATATTTGTACATGAAAATCCATTTTTATTTTACAAAAAAATATATAATCCACTTATAACATTAGCTTTACAACCATCACCCGGGAATCCAAGTAAAATAATAATAATAATAAAAAAAATAGCTACTTTCATGCGAGACGAATCAACTTTGTTTTGTATGAAAGACAAAACGGCTTAGAAATAAAACCTGTAGATGTTTTCAGCTCAACTGTTTCATCAATAAAACACAAGGAAGTAAAAGAGGAAAGGAGAATTCCTCATTTTAATATTTAACATCTTTAAACTTTGATTTAAAATTATTTTTGAAATGTGAACTTTTTGAGAAACTTATGGAGGAAAAAAAAACCAAACAACTATCCTGGATTACAGATCTGTTCAATTGCGTATTTTAGTTAGTTAGTTAGTTTTTTTAGTTGCTGTTCTTTAAAGGTCCAGTTGCCATGTTTTTTCTGCAAACCGATTATTGTCACTGTTTTTATTTATTATAAAACTGAATCACCATTGGTTGCATTTTTATCTTGTGTATTCTGTATCCCGCTGTTCACCATATTTATACGATACAAATATTTTTGAATGAAGCTTTCTTTTGTATGAAACTGATGAGTCTTTGTTTTATTTAGCTAGTTGTTGGAATCCGCTGCTGCTTCCAGTTTGTCTTACTTTAATATTTGTTTCCTTTACTTTCTACCCAGTGAGGTGAGTTTCCAAGCAGCTTTGATCTCATCTGAGCTACCTGACTTTGTGGGCTACAGATGGAGTAAATATGGCCCCCCTCTCACCCTCCACACAGCTTTGGACTCCTAATTCCTGATTAACTGAGAAAGGCCCAGCACTTGCTTTTGGATCTTGGATATCAGACGACACAGAGGGGAACAGAGGCGAGTGTTTTTGTGCTTCATTTTTGAAGCGGGATGTTGGAGGGATAAGAGGGGAGTTTCTGTAATAGATACTTATCTCACTGCCCTCAAGCCCCTCAAACAAAGTCCCCTTCTGAAGAGATTATAACCCAGGGAGGGCACATTAACTTTAATCCCATGCTTTGAGGCCTTGCACCCCCAACACCAGGCCTCTGCCCCACTTATTTTAACCCTTCTGTTGTTATGTCGGAGAAGGAGGTGGGGGCATGTTTCTAGTGCATGTATGTGTTAGTTCTATGGCTACACACAAAGGTAATGTGTGTGTGTTTGTATGCAAGCGGGGGGGTCTGTTTCAGTAGCACGCTGACTCTAATGAAAAGTGTTGAGGGGTGCATACTGCTGTGTAACTGATTCCTCTCTCTGAGGAGATTAGGCGCTACATTGTTGGTTCGGTTGCTCATTTCCATGAGAGCGCAGCCTCCCACCAGCGCCTGCTCGGCTTTGTTATTTTGAGTCGGGACAACACTGGGCCCAAAGTCCCGGGCTTCCTTGTTGCTTTTGTTTTACAAATGGGCCAAAATGTAGATGTCACATCACAGATGCTCAATAACCTCATTAGCTACTCTCTGTGAGGCTTTAGAGAGAAAATAATGGATGCATGAACTTCACTTTGTTCACAGGGCACCAGTTGCGGTAAAAGGGGGAATCTGGTAATGTTCTGTTTTCCTGTAAATTTACAGAAGAAAAACTTCAGTTTGTGTGTTTTTTTTTTTTAAGTATACCTATATGTTAAATTAACTGTTAATGAAAACAAAAGAAAAGGTTGTAAATGTAAGGCAGTAAATGTGAATAAATTTAAGCGTTATGAGCATTGTTGGGGAGTAACGCATTACATGTTAGGACGTTACGTAATTTAATTACAAAAAAAGAGTAACTGTAATTCGTTACAGTTACAATGAGAAAATATGTAATCCAGTTACAGTTACTTCCGAAAATATTAAGAATAACAAATTTAGTTACATTTTTTTTTTTAAATATAAAGAAAAACCTTTGCGAAATATGTAATGATATTTTTATTGCTTCGCGCCCTGTATCGCCGTTTCCC